TCACATGTCTCTAGTCATAACTATCTACTTATACAGTTACGATATTTCGATTATGAAGATTAAATCATGTTGATACTTCAATCTAGATGTAATAGACTTTCAGAGATTCATGCATATATCTTATGTACAAAGTTGCAAACAATTGAGAATACTTATGCGCACGATAATAGTTAATTCCTCTAGTACCACTCATATATATATATATATTTGTTTTAAAAGGAAATCAACTATTAGTTTTGCCAGTTTACCTTTTTAAATGTCTAAAATACTCATAAAGGCATTTCAATCTTCCTGGTCAGTATCGTGTGATTCACCAACGCTAAAAATTGAACCTAGAACGCGTTGTGTGGAATACAGGCCTAAAATTCGTCCCAACCACTAAGTCACCCTATGGCTGAAATCATTCCTTCTAATGAACCCGAGATTTTTCACTTGTAACAACATATTTTTTGTAGTGTAATTTTCATAATATTTTACTTAATTGCTTTCCATTATCATGAATTCCAGTTCAAGCCCATTGAGAAATGCTCCTCATTAGATTGACGGCCTGGTTATGCGAACGGATTGGACTTCTCCATGTCCGTCATTTACTACCAAACCCAAATCTTGAGCAGAGACGACCAGCAATTGCCCAACTCATACTTTCATGTATCAATGCTCATAATTTTAATCTAAATTACACTTTCTGTTTTATGTTATTTTCCGGTACAATTTTGTTTTGTTTACAACATGAAGTGCAGATTTTGATCACAAAGAAAAGGGAAAACGTCGACATATAATACAATTAGAATGTGTGTGCAACGATACAACTGTTGTTTTATAAAATTATATAAGGATTGGGAAGCTAATGTGTGCGAGAATTTTATGTTGGACAGTTTTTATTTCTTTACTGAGGCAGAAACTCGGGGCAAAAAAAGATAGAGGAATATCTAAGAACACTTGGAAAGAGATTCTAAGAAAAGACACAGAGTAGTTGGAGCTCAAAAAAGGCTTTGCGTAAAATAGAGTGCAGTAGCGTTCTATAATTCATACAACCGATCACACTTAATGGCATGAGACTTTATTATTGTTATTTTATTTATTAATATTTTGACCAGTAAAATTTGGAAATGAATAAGAAAGAAAAAGAAACAACCATATGATCATTCAAGAAATTTGAAATAGTTCTCGACAAAAAATTGCGCACCTACCTTAGTGCGTTCATATTGATTCTTCTTTGTCCCAAAGCAAAGTTCCCATTCATATTTTTTGATATAGTTTTGTGTTAAACTTATAGAGCACATTAGAACATCTTTAAAAGAAATTTAAAAATGTCAGTGAGCATCCAACCGGTAAGCCAAATGCTGATTTGGACTGAAGGAGGAGCTTCCAGCGTAAAAAATAGAAGCAAGAGAGGTTGATGCTAAATTATTTTTAATTTGATTACGGGTAAGAGTAGGGTCTACCATGAAGACAACCTATTTTGTGGAAAGGGATGCTTTTCGGATCCGTTCCTCTTAATCCACCAAATTAGGAAATCTGTGTCATTGAAATTTAATCCAACGGCTAAAGTTATTATAACTTTTAAAGTGATCCCCTGTTTGTAGCCGTTGAATTAAATTTCAATGACACAGATTCCCTGATTTGGTAGATTAGAAGGAAGGGATCCCTTTCCCTATTTTGTTTCTTTGAAATAGTTACTTTCCACCTTCTTTAATAAATAATTCATAAATATTACAAAACATAAAAATATCTGGTGGATAAAGAAGTTTTGCATGATGCCAAATTGCCACATAAGTCATCAAATTTAAAATTGATGTTTTAAATTTGACATCTTCTTTGGATATTCTCTTAGCTAGTCTCGCATGTATTTTTGTATTTGTTGAATCATTTTCGGTGTGTTCATAACACGGGCACATACGTCATGTGTTGTTATACAAGTGGAGGGATAATTGAAAAAAAAAGAAGTTATCTCAACTTGTATAATGACATATACTGTAGCATCACATATTCTAGATACATTAAAAAATCTCTCCCATTTCAGATGTCAACTTTTAAATATGTTACTCAACATTTTGTTGCCACATGAATTCTAGTTTACGAAAAGGGCAAATCGAACGAACACTCAAGAGACTCATAAAACCAGGAATAATGTTCTGGACCACCCACTTGAAAAACAAAACGTCGAAAGCCCAAATTGGTTGGCCGTTACAATCAAGGTGGATGGCACTAAATTATGAAAAATACACATTGTCGGAAAAGGAACTGAATAATGTTACTATTAAATTAAATTGATCATAAATTCCGATATGACAATTAAAATAAGGAAACTTTAACGAAAAACTCTCAGCACTGTTCACTTAAACAAAAAATCACATTTTTACACTAAAAAAAATCAATCATGGTACTATTCACTTCACCCTTTATTTTGTCCTTATCGTTAAAATTCAAAATTTTCAAACCCTTTTTATTAGTTTTCCTTTAAAATAATACGCTATTAATTTAGCAATATTTTTCGTAATGTTATAAGATGTCAAAAGTTTGAGAATTCATCTACTCTATTGATCAAACTAAAAAAACGTAAACTAAGTCGTAAAATAGAATTACTGAACAAGGGGCATTATTTGTTGAATATTAAACTTGCCATATTTTTGAAGGGATTAGGATACGCTTTACTTCATGCTTGTGTGGAAAGTGGGAGAAGAAAAAGGAAAAGAAAGCACGCACACTCAATACCGTTGTTTCCCTTGATGCTCGACATAATCAGTAATCACCTCCCCTTCTGGTTGAGTCTTTTGACTTAATAACATAGCTAAACCATTACTAAACGGTGATGGCTTGTTTAGAAGTATTGTTAAAATGAGAGAAAACGCTTTTAAAGAAAATGTTATTGAGTTTCAAAAACACTTGAAATGCTTTATGTAAGAAATACCAGTAAAAGCACAAATTATGTGCTTATTCACAGAAGCGTTTTTAAGTGTTTTTTAAGAATTTATTTGCATTTTTACCAAAATTTTGATCAAGGGGTTTCGGAATGGCCATCACAAAACTTGTGCATCAATCAACCGCAGGAGTTGGTTGATTAATGCTAAATTTTCTACTTTAGAGGGGCCAAATTATCAGGAGCACAGGCGTCTTTGTGGGCAACCCTACACAACAGAAAATGCGCATGCTGACCTTTCTTAACAAGGATTTTGCAGTAATATCTGGCACAGAATCCGTTCCAAAACTGGGATCACTGGAGTTGGGCATGGCCTCATCTGGGGTAATACTAGGAGCACATAAAAAATCAAGGGCAGTTCGGGTAGTTTAGGAGAAATTTTGGAACCGACAACTAAACCACATCATACGTCCGATTTTGCCACGAACAATGAGAAAGACATTGTGACTCTATCTCAATTCGGTCACGTATCGATAGCTTAAAATATTAACAGTAACATTTCCGTGAAGAAGTTCTTCTCCTTCCCCGTTGCGAGACGCCGCACACAAATCGCTCGCAGATCTGCGGCCTTGGGGCCATTTAGTTTTGGTATGAGTTAAGGGGTATTTTATAAAGATAATTGAAATGATAATGATAAAATATTTAAACCTAAAAATTTAATTAAATTATGATGGTGACGTCCCTAATCGACAAAACTGGTCCAAACATGTTCATGGCATGTTACTGGACCGGCTTCATATGGTGTGACGCACATGTGACACCTCATCGTCGGTCGCACCTTCCAATCGTAAGGACCGCGCACAACTGCTGACGATGACCAGAAGCGTCTGCCACTCGTCGTCCACGTGGATTTGATAGCTAAGCTGCATCCCAAGATTTCAATCTCCCTTCTTTCCTCTATTTTTCCTTTGTATGAGAGGAGAATTCGTTTCCTTTATTTGTTGTGGAATCTCAAATGTGTGATTTGACCCACAGAAAAAAAATGAAAATCTGAAATGTTTGATTTTTTAGATGCGAATTCAAATTTGAGCGTAAAATGACTGGACACAATTTTATGCCGATGAGTATTTTTCTTTTCAAGTTCTTCCCCTTTCAGTCCTCTCATCTTATGTCTGACTTTCTACTTTTTATTTCTCTTTCTTTATAAATAAGCCAACACAAGTTAACATGGCTTGGTTGTGATGTTTAAATAGGAGGAAATCGGATGGGAGAAAAATTTAAAAATAAGAGAATCCTACTTCATTTTACAGTCAATCTAACCCCGTGCATACCAAAATATTTCATAATTTTTCCACATTTTAATTTCTTAAGCATTCCTCCTAAAACGTTATCAAATTCTCCCTTATAAAGATTATTTTTGTTAACATATTAATTTATATAACCTTATTTGTTTTGATTGGAGTAATTAATATATACCTTATAAAATCATCAAATGAGACGTCAAATTCAAAACATCAAATTTCAATTTGATGGCTAACCTTGCAATTTGACATATTGTCAAGATTTTCCTTTCACTCAATACGTGAAAATTTATTGCTTCATTTATTCTTTTTTAAAACAAAATTAATAATAGTTGGGTTGTTATTGGTTTAAAAATAATAAAATAATACTTAAATATGCTAGCATAAGGCAAGTGGAATGCTTTTGGAAATAGCAAAAATAAAATTTGAAGACAGCTTCATATTTGACATCTCTTTGTTCATATCAGCTTAGCCTTCTTTTTCATGTCAACTTTGACATCTGGATTGGAGTAAATGATATGTTATTTGTTTTATTTGGAGATTGTCTAAGTTTTGGAAAGATAGAAACAAATTTGCAATTGCTATTTACATATTCCTTCCACATATACCGAATGCAAATTAGTAATTGCCATAAAATAAAACAAAAAAGATAAAATTAAAAAAAAAAGTCAAATAAATAGTAATTAGCAGGCGCGTTTTGTAAGGTTTTCCTATATAAGTCTATTAGTTGTAAGTTGTAACCCTCCAGGACTTCTCCAGCTTTTTCCTGATCTCTATCCTTTCCTTTGTGTAAAAGGTAAGCAAGCCCTAGCTCCTACGGCAGCTACCATATAAACACCAAACCCTCCCTCTTCACAAACCCCTCACCTTCTCCATTTCCATCAATATTTATGTTGGTTATTGAATCCGATCATATATCATGAGCAATATTCCGAGATCGTTAACCGACTCCGCCCTAACCTTGTTCAATCTCACCATCTCCGCTTCCGATCCGTGGCCATTTTCTTTCCTCTTCTTATAGCCCTAATTCAACAGCTTCAAGTTTTCCCAGTGTTGTCTTGCTCTCTAGGGGTTTCCTGGTTTTTCGGGGTTTTCGAGTTTTTGATATTCTTGGATTCGAAAATATGGGGTTTATCGCCGCCGACAGGGACAGCAAGCACCACCACAACCACCTGAACTTCCACCTCCACCTCCACTTTCCCCACCTTCTCCATCACCACCACGACAAGAACAGCAAGGAGCTGAAAGACATCCCGAGAGGGTGTATGGCAGTGATGGTTGGCCAGGGGGAGGATCAGCAGAGGTTTGTGATTCCAGTGATCTACATCAACCACCCTCTCTTCATGCAGCTGCTGGAGGAGGCCGAGAAAGAGTACGGATTCGATCACAAAGGTCCGATCACTATTCCTTGCCACGTGGAGGAGTTTCGCACTGTTCAAGGCATGGTGGACAGGGAGACTTTGTTCCACAGTCATCATCACCCCCAGAACAACCATGCCTGGTGTTTTAGGGTTTGATTAATTGTTGATTAGGAAGATTATTATGTGAATATAGGTATCTTAATTTCGGTTTATTGATTGTTTGCGAGGCCTTGGATTCTTTGGGACCTCATAATATTATTAATTAGTTATATATAATTTTTGTTCTTGATGATGTGTTTTGGATTATTGATAAAGATGAACCGAATATATAAAAGTAAGAAGGAAAGTTGCTGGTCGTTGGAGATAAGAAACTAAACAAACGTATAGGACACGGTCCTAAGCAAGGGTGGGTGCGAGCCTGTGGAGGCTTACCTCCTCACAGCCATCAGATTTTTTTTGTGTGTCGAATTTTATTTGGAACTTTGCCCCACAACCTTGGATGTCATATCGTGCGTGACACATTGTCAAACAAGTGTTGGTGGTATTTTCTCCGCTTGTAATTGAGAAACATTAAGTTTAACACTCGTAAATAACAAGTTTGATCCACTTATAACCGAGAAACATTAAGTTTAATACTCATAAATAACGAGTCTGATATCTAAACTTAAGTTAAGCTGCAAAACAGGTTAAACTTCTGCTACAAATTGTATTGGTAATTTAACAATAATTCCATTGAGTGATTACATATTTTTCTCATTTATGGCCTATTGTTTCCTTGATTCCAGTTTAGAAGTCCCAACATTTTTTCTTCATAGGTTCAATTTTATTATTTTATATATTGTCGTCTTGTATTTATTTTTTCGACATCTTAAATAAATATCATACATTTCCATAAAAAAAAAAAAACCTAGAAAGAGTTAAGTGCACATAAACTATCTGCTATAGGTATTGAGAGGACGATGAGTCATACTCAATGAATACAATATGTCAACTGTAAATTTGAATTAATTGAGTTTTATACTACTATGACGACCTGCTCAGCTAGTATTTAGATATAAAAAGTGTGAAGGCAACACGAATTAATATTTTGAAATTTTGATCCAATCATTTGATGTCGTCTGGCTTCTGCATTCCACCGGTTGCAACTGGCATGGATGTTGGCAGGTTGTAATTCAAGGCCTTCACATTTGGCTGCATAATATAATCACATTTTTATCATGTCCATTTGGGAGTTTACAAGTATGAACACTTCGGTCAAACGGTTTCAGGATTTCAATGATCTTTTTACAAACATAATCTTTGAGGGAATATCCAAAAAATAGATGATTGGTTCGGATCATTAAAATACAATACGAAATAAATCCTCCATAAACGTATGTGAAAAATTGTATTAAAAAAATTAGATCATTGACCCGCCATATATATAATATCAATATTGTCGTCCAAATATATTGGAACACACTGCCAAAGAGAAGTCTATTGGATGTTGACTTTCATCAAGAGGCCAGCAGCCAGCAACGGACCAAGTACAACCCGTCCCAGTAACACCGAACTTATATTTTTTTTGTTCGAAACCGAAAGTAACACGAAACTTTGACCGTAGACAAATACAGAAATACAAGGAAGATTTTATGAATTACATTATATAAACAAATTAATGCCACTGAATTGATGAAAAATTAAGGGACCTTTAATTACTCGTTTAATTTTCACGCCACTTTTCAATTTAACTTGCTTGATAACTATTTTCAATTTTAACTTGCTTGATAACTATTTTCAATTTTTAATATTAAAAAAATAAAAATAAAAACTGAAACGGTTATTATAACGGGCCGTCGGGCTGAACAATCCTCGGTTTCCAAAGTTTGGTAAACATGGAGCTTGAAAATTGAAATTATAGTGCAAAGCAACCTTCTAAATTTATATTTGAATGTCTTTACAAAACTCTGTAACCTTACCTTCAAAGATATGAGCACAAACAACCCACACATATGTAAATACAAAAGCTTTCTTCGACTGAATTGCCTCTACCGTCGCAGCGATCACAACCGGTACAATATACGGATTATGTTTTACAAATGTCGATACGTTTTCAAGGGTCTTGGGCAATTCTTTTGCATATATTCTCACAAATTATTGACATAGATAGACCCATATCGCTTCACTCGCCAAAGGGACGGACAAGGTTCTAAAAGAATCAGAGACACTTTCGGTAGAAACTTTGAAGAAAAAATTATGTATCCGGGGTTACATTTATCGATGTCTGGCATTGGAACTACGTACTGTCACACCATGCAAAAATTTGGTGTATCCAAGGGAGGAAAGTTTTCGGTCTGAAGTTCGGATCCAGTCATTGAGTAATTGATAAGATGTAGGAAGCACATTCATTTCCTGCATAACGTTTTTGTTTTTCTTGAGTTTGCTGATATTCAATTGATGGAAAGATGCAGATACTTGTTCGATATGATATATTGAAAGTAACATGTACACAAGCAATTGTACGAAAGACTGATGTGCATACCTGTGCCAACTCCTCAACAGTGATGACCCGGTTTCCTTCGTTTTCGAAATACTCAAACGCCGTACTTGCAATGTTCTCCCATCCTTCATGAGCTTCTAGCTGATATGTACTTATTGCAGCGACGCAGAATTCTTCGAAGTCCAATTTCTTGTGTGAGAGTGGTTCCATCTTGAATAAAAAACTACAATATGAGTATACGCCTCGTGCAAAAGCCGCAGTTCAAGAAATATAAAAAAATGTATTGGAAAATTGGCTTCATTTATCAATGCTATCGATTCTACGATTCCAGGCTGTGTGTGTCAACGGAAAAGACAAGCCAGCAATGAAAAAGTCAGAAAAGAAAACAAACTCAAGACAAAACTTCTAGAGTCCTCCAATATTAAGAAAAAACAGTGCGTTCTCTTTATTTGTTTCATTAAATACAACCATCGCAGAAACAGACCGCTATTCCGCCTTACATATCTCAGAATATCCAACAGTTTGCAGTTTTATATCATGTAAAACAAAAGTTAGCAAACAAATTTAGGATCATTCCACCGTTGAAATCAAAGAAAGAAGATCTCTCACCAAATTTATAAAGTCATGAACCCTCGACTCCTTCATGGCATCAGTTGCATTTCTCATGAGGGCCTGCAATATTCTTCATGATAAGTTCAAGAAAAACAGTGAAGATACACAAATTTGGAACGTCTAACTATAGTACTTACTAGAGATATCAAAGAGCCATATCATACCATGAACATAGATAATACGGGTCCAAAATGGGCTCTAAAATGTAACAAAAGAAATATTGTTAAAGCAAAAAGAACTCTGACTAACCGTTCTGAAATTATCAAGGGACACGTATCCTTGTTTTGGATCCAAGAGCCTAAATTGAGCCCTAAGGTAGAAGAGCTCGTCTTCTGTTATAGCTTTGGAGAGGGCCTGTGAATAATGAAATATGTTACAAATTTGATGCCTTCTAACATGACAATTGTGGGTTTGTGTGTGTGTGTGAGAGTGAAAGATTGGATTGCCCCAACGTATGCCATTCATGCCTCACAGCACCCAGCTTGTTCTCTTTGATTTTAAGTTGTTTCTTCATCTTTTCACTTCTTTTTTTTTCATTTCACATTTTCAGGGATTGGGAGGGCATGGTTTCTTGTGAGTGTCTGTTACCTTTAGTGCTGCACGCTTCAAAGGTGAGGACCGAACATACGACTTAATCAACTTGTAGATTAAAATATCTAAAGGCACATCACGGTTTTCATCTCGTAACCATGGGTGAGCTGTGAACACAAGAAATAGGTATCAGCATATCAACAAGAAATACCTGTACATGACACTAGCATGGAAATTTAGTGCAAAATCATATTCTAGACTGTCTGACATATTTAGAACCAACTTACTTAAAGCTTGGGCAGCAGTCATTCTTTTTCTGTGGTCCTTGTTCAGAAGCCTTTTGAGAAAATCTTTGGCTTCCGAGGACACTGAAGGCCAAGGTGAATCATCAAAGTTAGGATCAGCTCTTAGCACTGAACGAAAGATTCCAGATTCAGTTCGTGCCCAGAAAGGTCTACTTCCACATAGCAATATATATGTTATGACACCAATGCTCCACATATCTGCTTCGAGACTGTAAGATCTATGTAACACCTCAGGTGCAACATAGTATGCACTTCCAACAATATCATTAAGGCGTTGATCTGCACATGTGGAACTAAATGTGCTGTGAAAACAATGTAATCTTCAGATAACTAAAGTTCTCATAATTAGACTGAATTCTAGGAAGGGAAGTTTGATTTCTCACACGAATATGCCAACATATCAGGAGAAAAAAACCATTTGAAAAAGGTTAAAGAAAATATTTCCAATGAAACAAATAGTTATTGACGATGCAGGTTGGCAACACAGTAAAAAATAATAATCATATAGGTATCAACTTCGTGACAAGAAACAATTTGCAGCTGCACATCATAGATTGAAGCCAAAGTATAGTGTGTGGAAACTGGAAAGTGACCATTACCGGGCCTAGTAAAGTCAGAGAGACCAAAATCAATAACCTTCAATGGAGCATCCTCATCTCTTGTTTTGAAAAGAAAATTCTGCCAAGCATTCATAATTAATAGAGTCATTAGTTACTGGTTGGGATATGAACGTGAAGAATTGAAACACAACTACATGTGAACATCCACAATTATTCTAACTGTTAGTTCAAACTTTCCGAATATAGTACCTCTGGTTTTAGATCACGGTGTACAACACCTTGGAGATGACAGAAGGAAACAACACTTAAAATTTGCACAACAATAGTTTTAGCGTCCTCTTCTGTGTATCTTCCACCCCTGCCACAATGTAGTGATTAAGAATAAATCCTTAACTCGTAAAATCTGATGGTGCAAACTACAAGTATAATACAAGAAAATAAAGCAGTTCATTCTACCTCGACAAAATCCTATCCAGTAGTTCTCCACCTTCACACAACCTGTAAGGTCAGCAAGATGCGAAAACTTCAAAACAGGCTTATCAGCCAAAATATTGATACACACACACACAATGTTGAACCATGATTCCAAGTTTTTATGAATAACATGACTGTAGATTAATGACAGGAAAAAAGTTCATACTCCATGACAATGTAGACATGATGGGCATCCTCAAACGCATCGTAAAATCTAACCAGATTCTTATGTCCAGCTAATGCTTTCAGTATTTTCACCTCTCTACGAACATCTTCAATAGCTATTGCGGTTGTCATCTGCAAAAAGATCCCTCGTTTAATTACCAAT